GTCAGAGCAGTCAGTGCTGGTAGCCGGGCACCATAAGATGGTGAAATTTTGATAACTTTTTATCACATTCATCCTCAATATATTTGTGGTCATATACTTACGTGACAGATTGGTGATTATAGGAGCAGTTATCTGCTGTGGAAGAAAACAATGTTGCACCTCCTATGTGAGCAAAAAGGAAGTGCGTGTATATAAGTGTATTGTGTGTACAGGTGTTTTGTTTATTTGAAAATTCTGATAGCTTGGAGGATATGTGGGAGCTGTACCTTTTTAAAATTGTCACACTTCCAGGTATATGAAATCAGATTTAGCTGCATTCTCCTACTAGTGTTAACTACTTAATTAATACAGAAATCCTTCATTGTTATCTTAGAAGGGGAAGTTAAAGTAAAATGAATTTGCTGTTTTAAAATATACTTATGACGTATGTATGCTCTTGAGCTATAGTATTATATGAGCCTTACTGGTAATGATAGTAAGTAGATGTTTGTATTTGTTAGTTCCCACCAATCTGAGACAAGTGTACTGAGCAAGAAGGAGAAGGCGCAGGTTAAGGTATAATCAAGTATATTAGCTAACTTTAGCGTGTTACTTTAAAAAAAAAAAAAAAGCCCAGAATCACAATTTTTATTTAAATCCGTACCAGGGTTGATGATTACGTTTAAATGAAACTACATTTTATATAGTATGCATAACATTTGAGAAACTTCCTTATGCAAGTAAGATACTGATAATACATAATTAATCAGAAAGATAGATAGTAGTGATTTTTCTGTTACAGTGAGGGGTTAATTTAGATATTTTATGAAATGAAAGGGTTTCGAGGGTGTTTAAGGATTTAGGTTTTATTTAAAATCATTGTTAATACACCATACACCTATTCTGAAGACATGTTTTACTTAAGAGTAGTCAGAAGTTGCCTGGTTGGTCCAGTTTATTTTTTCTGGTTCACTTGTCAACATAGATCATGTCACTAGACATCTTTAAAAAAAAGAGTGCAAATAAAAATAAAAATTTGTGCCTTCCTGTTTCACCATTCCCAGTTGCAAGAATTAGAGACAGAGAGAGCCTGATCTTCAAATTATAATCAGTCTTTTGAGTAATTGATAGCTGACTGCTCTCATTCTGCTGAGAAGTGGTTAGTTTAGTTGCATTATATAAATATTACATTATGAGTTTTATTGAATCACTACCATACGTAACTGTGGGCTTTCTTTGTTGTAATAGATAATGTTTTTTAGTAGATAATTCTTGATGTTTTGTACATTACTTTCACATCAAATTAGTGAGGAGTGGATCTTGATAAGTATAGGATACGTATGTAATGGATTAGAATCTCAAAATTCTTTTGGTACCTTGGTATAACTTGACAGTTTTTAATATATGTAGACCTATGCTTGGCAAAGTAGAGGGTCAGCCAAAAAGAGGAAGACCCTCAGCGAGATAGATTGACACAGTTGCTGCAACAGTGGGCTCAAGCGTAACAACGACCGTGAGGATGGTGCAGGACCAGGCGGTATTTAGTAGTGTCGTACATAAGGTCGCTATGAGTTGGAACCAACCAATGGCGCTTAACAACAATGAATATTTATGAAATAATTAGAATTTAGTTATGTTGCAACCTATAGAATTGTGCTTTGTAAACCTACTAAATGCTTTCTTGAATTTTCTCAGAAAACCCACTTCCTCATTCTTTCCTCACTCCAATAGATAGTTATCACTAGTTTTAATGAGGTAAATAGAAATGTGATATCATATGCATTAAAGAAAGAATTGGGATTACACACAACAGTTGTTGGATATGCTTTATTATGCATTGCAGAAGCAATGTGATCTTTTTAATGTTTATTTAAGATTCCTAGCCCTGGTGGTACAGTGGTTAAGCACTTGGCTGCTGACCGAAAAGTCAAGGTTCACACCCACTAGCTGTTCCTTGGGAGAAAAGACCTGATGATCTGCTCCCGTAAAGATTACAGCCCTAGGAAGCCCTATGGGGCAGTTCTACTCTTACCACATGGGGTTGCTGTGAGTCAGAATTGACTTGGTGGCATACAACAATAACAACACTTAGAATGGTAGGTAGAGCAACACATTGTTTTGTACAAAGTGCTGTCTAGGCTCAGCAGGCAAATGTATTGAGCTCTCTTGCTCATGTTTTCTATGGGAGCGGGAGGGAGGAGTGCTATGCAATTGTTGATTTAATCTAATGAGTTACTTCCCAAAAAGAATGAGACAAAGACAGATATTTTAATCAGTGTTTAGTTGTTGATACAATTTTGAAAGAATTCTAGGGCATCAACGAATAAAATTTACATTTGAATATTGAGTGCTGTGTATCTCTTACTAGCCCACTTAGGTATTTCTTTTTTGAAGTGTCGTGAACTATAGACTAGTTAGGTAGTCAACATTTAAGCTTAAATCTCAGCTCTGCATGCTGTTTAATTATTTTGGACATTGGGCAAGTTGCTTTCTCCAACTTCAAAATGAGGCCAGTATGTGCCTTGTAGGATTATTTTATAAGAATTAAATAGGATAATGTATAAAAAATGTATAGCATAGTGCCTGGCACTTGATAGACATTTGTCAGTAGTCACTGCTGCTATTAATAGCCATTACCACCACCATCTTTTTTTTTTGATACTTGTCCTATGCCTTCATCAGATTTTTGGGAATATCTTTGCATCTCTGATAGAACCAAGCGTATGTTTCATATATATTAACCTTCAAGAAATATTTGATTAACGAATAAAATAATAAACGCTTGGACATCTTTTTGATCAGCATAGGTCAGAACAAGATTTTCTTCTTCATGATGAAGTTTTGTTAATATAATTGCTATAATGTCATATAATTACATCTTTAGATGTAAACACATGTAGAAACCTTGCTGAATTGACTTCTTAAAAATCAGAAAATATTCATATGAGTGTGTAGAGGGGACTTGATGGGATTGTCTGCAATTTTACTGTTTTACTGATGAGTGCAGATGCTTAGTAAGTTGCTCAGGTCCCATATGCTACTTCCTGGTAAGATGGGACTTGGAATCCAAGCCTCTGTAACATCCTTTATTTTGATCTGGCATAAAGTAGTCAACCTTAATTTTACCAGCCTAAGCTTTCATTCTTGTGTGTACTTTTCATTGTGAGACTGGCTGGACTTCTTATGCGATAGCATTAACTATCTCACATTTTTCATGTAATGGCAAAATTTGTGTTTTAATCTTTTTAATGTTTATATTTAAATATTTTCATTTTTGGAGATTGATTTTTTAATTCAGTCCCAGTATGGTTTCTTATGAGGGACCTTGTAATTTGTATAGCTGACAGGTTATGAAATGTACCTATTCAATTGGAACTATGAATTTGAGGTCTGGGTCACAGAGGATGCAAAAATATGATTGTTTTAGCAGTCAAGCCTAGATGTGCTCCACACCACCTCTTGGGACCTGAGGGGTTTTCTGAGTGCTGCAGACTGTCAGACTGGGGGTCTTCGGTTAGTTGTCTTTTGAGAAGCATCCTCTCCATGCTACCCGTCATCCTCATCTGATAAGTGTGCTGCTTGTTCAGAGTGGGCATTTAAGGCCTATTTAGGGTATACTGGTTTTGTTTAGGAAACCCCCAGGCACTCCTTGGAAACTCTGCGGGACAGTTCTGCTCTGTCCTAGAGGGTTGCTATGAGTCGGAATTGACTCGACGGTAGTGAGTTTGGTTTTGTTTTGATTTTGTTTAAGAACCATTTTAAAGTACACATTTTGTTATTTCTGGGTACAGGTGTTTAGCAGAGGATTTCTGTTTTCACTGTTCTTCAGTAGGGTTGAAGTATAAGTCATAAGGAGACTTCATGGCACCTAAAATAAAAAACAAACAAACAAAAAAAACCTTACTGTGGAGTGTATCATACAGTTTATTTAGTTTTTTTTTTTCTTTCTTATTTTTTCCAGGAAATTTGGTGAGCGGCCTCAACCTAAACGACTCACTAGGTAAGCATTATATTAGTCACCCTTTCACTCAAACATTACATTAGAATGTAGGTCGTTTCATTTTAGAAACAACTACATTAGTTACACTTAAGTTTATTCCCATTCTCCCACCACCCCCCCCAAAAAAAAAAAAAAAACAGGATAAGAGGATATAGTTCAAAAGGAAAATGAAACCTTTTCAGTAATTAATCTTGAGTATTATATGGTGACTGTAATAAGGGTCAAAATGTAAAAGATAGCTTTATATCTAGCTTCATTTAGCCAATCATAATTTGTTGATTACAGGTGAGATTTGAAAGATATTTAATGAATGTTTTTTGCAAAAGTGTTTCAAAGAAAACACTGAAAAATTTTACTCATTTTCAATGAGAATATAAATTTTATGCTGTGTTCTAATTATATAAATTAATTTTAAATATACATTTTGATTTAAAAATGTAAATTATAAAACTGTTAGTCTTGAAAATGATGCAAAATTTCTAACATTCAGAGGTTGTAAAATAAAAAGACACAGTTCCACAAATCCTAGAGTTAATTTTAACCCTGCATTATTAGCTGTTTTTCTTTTATATTTTTCAAGAAAATTGTATGCATATATAAGCATATGTCTGTCTTTTTCTTTTTTAAACTCTACTGGGATCATACTGTACTGTTGTTCTGTACCTTTTAACCCTAGTTAAAAGTGCATCTTCTGCCTCATTCTCTTCAATGGCTCCATGGTTTTCCATTGACTTCAGATCACTTTTTATTTAATATTTCACATTGATGTCTATTTAGGTTGTTTCCAAATTATTACTGTTATTTAAAAAAAAAAAGCTGTTGCACTCAGAGTGATAGGGACATGTCAGAAAGACACAAGAGCCAGTTTGAAGGTTGTTCTGCTGATCACATTTGGGGCTGTTTGATTATCAAAACAAATAATGATAGTTATAGATTAAAACCCATAGAATAAAATGACAGTTTAGATGTCTTTTCTGAGATAAATAAATGAATCAGTAAATTGGGGAGAGAAAGTTGCTTTTCTTTACAGAAGAATGCCATTTAAGAAATGTAGAATGAATGATAGAATTAGAGAACTAACTGTTTGACATCTACCATAGTAATAATTGTTTCAGGCAAAAATCATGAACAGATGTTGAAACCATTGGGTTAAAGTTTTATGAGAACAAGATATTTACATAGTCTCAAAGTGTATCATCACAAAACATGTATTGATTATAAAGGGAAAATATAGTGATGTTACAGTGAAGAAACATGGCAGACACCACCTTAATACAAGATCTAAATTTACATCACCAGTAATGGACAAATAGATATCATGTGCATACTGAGAAGGACACAGTGTCACTTTACAGGTATTCTTGCCAAAAATGCATAAGCTAAATCTAAACATGAAGAAAACATCAGACAGACACAAAATAAGAAACATTCTACAAAATAAATAGCATTTACTCCTCAAAAATCTTAAGGTCATGAAAGACAAAGACTGAGGAACGATTGCATGTTAAAGGATACCAGAGACATGACAATTAAATATGAATTGTTATCCTGAGCCACGGGATAATTTTTTCTTTTGCTGTAAAGCTAGGGTTGGCAAACCTTTTCTATAAAGGGCTAGTTAGTAAATATGTTAGACATTGTGGGCCACACTGAGTCTGTTGTGATTACTCAGTTCGGCTGTTGTATCCTCAAAGCAGATGTAGGCGATATGTAAATGAATGACCATGGCTCTGTTCCAGCATAACTTTATTTACAAAAACTAGTGGCTTTCCAAAATCAGCTTTCAGGCAGTAGTTTCTCACCCACCTCTCTCTCTCCCCAAAGGACATTAGTGGGACAGTTGGCAAAATTTGAATAAAATTTATAGAGTAGATACTAATATTATGTCTGTGATCGTTGTTTTGTGGTTGTGTAAGAAAATGTCCTTGAGATATTGTATAAGACCACTATTATAAGAACTCAAGAAAAGGTTTAAACACAGAAGAAAACATTCTTTGATGGTTTCAAGGGTGAGGAGGGAGGGTGAGAGTTTATTTACTAACTAGATAGTAGATATCAAATTCTGCCTATGTGAACCATGTTGCATCAAGACTTCAAGGTACAAAGGAGCCCTCTTGGTGCAATGGTTAAGTGTATGGCTGCTAACCGAAAGGTTGGCAGTTCGAACCCAGTATCCACTCCACTAGAGAAAGGACCTCACGATCTGCTCCTGTAAAGAATTTACAGCCTACTTCCTTAAAAAGCTAGAAACAGAAGTACCATACGATCCAGCAGTCCCACTCCTTGGAACATATCCTAGAGAAAGAGGAGCCGTCACACGAATAGATACATGCACACCCATGTTCATTGCAGCACTGTTCACAATAGCAAAACGATGGAAACCACCCAGGTGCCCATCAATGGACAAATGGATAAACAAATTATGGTATATTCACACAATGGAATACTATGCAACGGTAAAGAACAACAGTGAATCTGTGAAACATCTCATAACATGGATGAATCTGGAAGGTATTATGCTGAGTGAGATTAGTCAATTGCAAAAGGACAAATATTCTGTGAGACCACTATTACAAGAACTCAGGAAAAGGTTTAAACACAGAAGAAAACATTCTTTGATGGTTACAAGGGTGAGGAGGGAGGAAGAAGGGTATTCACTAACTACATAGTAGATAAGATTTATCTTAGGTGAAGGGAGGGACAACACACAATACAGGGGAAGTCAGCACAACTGGATTAAATCAAAAGCTAAGAAGTTTCCTCAGTACAACCAAACACTTCAAGGGACACAGTAGCAGGGGTGGGGGTCTGGGGACCATGGTTTCAGGGGACGTCTAGGTCAATTGGCATAACAAAGCTTATTAAGAAAACGTTTTGCATCCTACTTTGTTGAGTGGCATCTGGGGTCTTAAAACCGTGCCAGCGGCCATCTAAGATGCATCAATTGGTCTCAACCCACCTAGAGGAAAGGAGAATGAAGAACACCAAAGACACAAGGAAAGTATTAGCCCAAGAGACAGAAAGGAACACATAAACCAGAGACTTCATCAGCCTGAGACCAGAAGAACTGGATGGTGCCCGGCTACCACCAGTAACCACCCTGACAGGGAACACAACAGAGAGTCCCTGATAGAGCAGGAGAAAGGTTGAGTACAGAACTCAAATTCTAGTAAGAAGACCAGACTTAATGGTCTGACTGAGACTGGAGGAACCTTGGAAAGCTTGGCCTCCGGATTCTCTATCAGCCCAGAACTGAAACAGTTTCCAAGGCTAACTCTTCAGACAGGGATTGGACTGGACTGTGGGACATAAATTGATACTCAGTTGAGGAATATGCCTCTTAGCTCAAGTAGATACAAGAAACTAAACGGGCAGCTTCTGTTCGGAGGTGAGATGGGAAGGCAGAGTGTTAGGAGCTGGTTGAATGGACATGGGGAATCGGGTGGAGAGGAGGAGTGTGCTGTCACAGTATGGGGAGAGCAATTAGGGTCACATAACAAAGGGTTTATAAATTTTTGTATGGGAGACTAACTAGAAAAGTAAACTTCATTTAAACTACAGCAATAAAAAAATAAAAGAAAATGTCCTTGTTTTTAAGAAATAAACTGAAGTATTTTGGATAAATGGGCATTATATCTGCAACTTACTCTTAATGGTTTAAAAAAACCATAATATGCAAATCTAGTAATGTTAACATTTGGGGAGTCTGGGTGAAAGGTAACTAGGAATTCTTTGTACTACTCTTGCAACTCTTCTGTAAGTCGGAAATTATTTCAAAATTAAAAAAAAACTTTAAATTACATTGCACAAATAGTGCAGATCAAGTAGGCTGGGAATATATAACTTGTCTCATAGGTTGAGATAAATATAGTTTTCAGTTACTGTTTATATATATAACCAAAACCATACCCATTGCTGGCGAGTCGATTCCAACTCATAGCGACCCTATAGGACAGAGTAGAACTGCCCCATAGGGTTTCTAAGGCTTTAATCTTTATGGGAGCAGACTGCCGCATCTTTCTCCCATGGAACAGCTGGTGGGTTTGAACCACCAACCTTTCGGTTAGCAGCCAAGCACTTAACCACTGCACTACCAGGACCCCCGTATTAGTTTCCTAGCGTTACCATAAACAAAGTACCACAAACTGCACAGCTTAAAACAACGGAATTTTTTCTCTCACAGTTCTGGAGGGAGGCTAGTAGTTGAAATCAAGATGTCAGCCTGTCCACATTCCCTTCAAAGAATCTAGGGAAGAATCTTTCCTGGCCTCTTCTTAGCTTCTGGTTGTTGCTGACAATCCTTGAAGTCCTTAACTTATAGAAGCATCATTCTAATCTCTGCCTCCATCATCACATGGTTTTCTCCCCTGTGTGTGTCCAAATTTCTCTTTTCTGTGGACACCCAGTCATTGGATTAAGGCCTACTCTAAACCAGCATAACCTCATCTGCAAGGGTTATAACTGCAAGGATCCTATTTCCAAATAAGGTCACACTCACAGGTTCTGGGTAGACATGAATTTTTTGGGGATACTGTTCAGCTCAGTACTAAACCCACTGCCATTGAGTTGATTCTGACCCATAGTGACCTATAGCAACCCTATAGAACAGAGTAGAACTGCCCCATGGAGTTTCCAAGGCTGTAAATCTTTACGGAAGCAGACTGCCACATCTTTCTCCTGCAGAGCTGCTGGTGGGTCAAACCGCTGACCTTTTGGTTGGCAGCTGAGTGCTTTAACCACTGTGCTACCAGGGGTCCTAACTCACTACTAGGAGTCAGCAAATGTTTTCTGTAAGGAGCCAAATCCTAAATATTTTAGGCTTTGAGGACCACATAATGTCTCTGTTGCATATTCTTTTTCTTTTTTTTTTTTTTTTACAACCCTTTAAAAATGTAAAAAGCATCCGTATCTTCCATGAGGTGAAAAAACAGGCTGCTGGCATGCTTTGCTGACCTCTGGTCTCTAGTGGTATTTCTTAAAGTATACTCTGCAGATTTCGT